TGAAATTTATAAACCGAAACCCTAAATAGGATCCATGCGTATATTGAAATCTAAACAGAAGTTCGACACGTACCTTTTGCAGATCGAAGGTAAATTAACAATCGATTGTATCTGGATTAGCGCCTCACGTGTTGCGCCTCTACCGGTATCCACACACACGAACGGAAGTCTCTAACAATCCAAGTGCTAGCTAAAGATCTAGGACTTCTTTTTCCTGATCGCCTTTGATCTTTGAGACTCTCTCAAAGATCTCTGAACAGAGAACGATTCTCTTCGTATTCTCTTAGGGTTTTTCGTCACCCATACGCTATATATATATAGCCTCATTATCTACGCGAATGTTCGTAAAATTCTGCACGTGTCAATGAACGTGTTGAACAAGTAATATAATGATGAGAAGAGTATCGTCCCACAGAGATTGATGATAATAAACCAATTAAATATTAAAAATGGACTAATTCTAAAATTTATCTAACTGATCAAAATATAATTGAGAACAAATAAAAATTGACAATTTTTAAAAACGAAATTTTATAAACTAAAGGCAGATAATCAATCAGGTAAAATATGTTAGAGCATCCGATTTCACCATAACCACTAGATATGAATTTCGGATCATTATACATACAAGAACAATATCAAACATGTGATAGCGGAATTTCTTAATCTATTTACTATCCTATCTCTAGGTATAGCAAACCTACTCAGTTTATAAATTCACTATATTTCTATGTGAATTTAAATAAACATAAGCGCATTAAAATTTGAGAATATTCCCGGTTTACAATGAAACTTTTGGACCACCTTATCACCGAAAGCTACACAAATAACATGGTATATTTCTATCCACATTTAATTCATGGTTATATATTATAAGGAGCAATTGCATATTATTACTTCTCAGTCTCAAACATGCACATCAAATCACTCAAGTGGTGGCCAATCACCTAAACGCATTAAGCACAATAATATATAACTCACATGAATGAAATTACTTGCAAAGCATAAAAAACATGAAATTCATATCATCATGGTTAGGCTACATCGTAGCTCTAACAAAGAAAATTAGAACATAATAGAAGAAGAAACGATAATAGAAATTAAACCAAACATCTTGAATCAAAGAACAAGAATTCTGTCGTTACTTTTGTCTTCTCTTCAAAATACTTGAAAAACTCTCAGAACATTGAAAACAAAAACGATCTCCCAAAAAAACCTCCACGTTCCCTCAAATTATCCTATTTATATGATAACATCCAAGACTCCTCTCATAAGGTAATTGCTTCTTTTTCGCATAAAATTAGGGAATAAATCGCAGAATTCCCAATGTGATATCCACCTTCTAACTTTTCTCTGGGTCGCATATTCCTTTCCTTCTTTTTGCCATATTTTCCTTATTTTCTCCATATCTCAATATTCTGCATAAACAAGGAAAAATTAAGTAAATAAAAGGAAATCCAAATATATTCTAACAAATATTGCATTATTTATTGCCTAGAGCAGATAAAATAACTCTATTTTTATAGAGTTGTCAGCGAATTAAAAGAAGTGGGGCCGGGCGATTTGAGCCCGCCAAACTGTCCACCTTTAATCGTACGTTTAATCGTTATCTCATAACGTGCACGACCGTGTGATAAGTTGAATAGAAGAATAAATTAAACTCTACTTCTTATTTTAAGTAGATCCCGGCGCACAAAAAAATTAACTCAGTTCGCTATTGTGTGCGACCCTATAGGTTCACTAAACATTAACAGTGTGCTCAAAACCTTTTTTGGCCTACAAGTCATAAGTGGTATCTAACAAGACATTATGACTACCTAAGTATAGTGAAGGTCGATTTTCCGACACAACCTAATCCACAACTAATATTAGAGTATCAACCTTGATTGATTTCCAGGACATACCACTAACACTACGGAATTAATATATGGTCATCCGTGACCAATGCATAGCAGAGCGGAATCACCTGCAACCAATACATGCCCGCACGGCACCAATCCATGGTTGTCCTGGACTGTTCCATTAGCGGCCCTTATGGTCGAAGGGTCAATCAATGGTTACATTACTCTAATCGACTTGCGTGATCAGGGAGCCATTCCTTTATCGATCCCTAGGCCAATTCATGGACAATCCTACGATCGAGCCATGACCAACCCTCAGTACATTTGTTTTGACCATACTGTCCGTTCCATTATCGACTCTTGGATCGGACCACTTACCCATTTCCCTTACCATTTACCTTTGATCGTCTTGGCCCTAAATTGGGGATGTCACAGTGTAAACCCGGGGTGTTACATTAACATTCAAATGAGTTATTTTTTTGTAAACACTTGAGGTTTGTATTTAATTTAGGTGTGGGAAACACTTGAGCATGTGAGCATTTATAAACTCCGATTCTTTGATTATTAGTGAATAATTTGTTGCTGGCTCTTTCCGTGAATGTAGGTATGGATACTCGGACCAAACCACATAAATATATGGTGTCCTTTATCGTTACTCGTTATTTCTCCGGTGCTTTCACATTAACTTAATTTGTAAGATCCGGGCCCGCGATGGTTAATATTACAACAGTTTGCATGGCTGGAATCTAGAAACCTTGGCTCTAAAACTGGCCATTCGAAAGCCAACCAGTTTGGTTCCATTAACAACTGTTATTGAAAAACACAAAATGTGCACAAGGAAACCAAACTTTTCGTTAGTTGTGCATCCAATAAACAGTCCCAAAGACCTAGGAAAATTACCAGTATGAAGATAAGTTCTTTTGAGGTTTGGGAAGAATCAACTCTGGATAATTCTTATTGATGAAAGAGTATTGTCAAGGAGCTACTCTGAGATGAGCCAACTTTTCCATAGTTTACTTTGACCGCAAGTACGCGCATCACCGGCATTCACGGTTGAAAACTTAACCCCAGATTGTGGGAATCTTGAAAATGCCCCTTCTTTAAATTATTAGAAATTGCTTGATTAAATATATAGGTCACCTTATCGTTTTAGTCATGGTTGCTTCACTTCGGTTTCTCAGTTTGTCAAATGTTTCCTAATCATGACGTGATCGACGAGTTTGAATTGGAAGTATTTTAAGTCAAGGAGCGTGAACAATTGTCGATGATTTGAAAGAGAGGGATTGTGAAGTTAATGTTAGGACGGGCAACTTCGTTGGTGTGATGACTAGGAAGTAGTGGATTTTTCCAATGACTTGAAACTGTCGATAATGATATTGGGATATCCAGTACTTACGGATCAGCGATAAGAAGTTAGAAACACTCGAGTCCTTCACTCTTCCTTAATCTCCCCTCCTTTTGGTCTTCATCAGCTATTCAGTGAACATATATGAGAGCATCAGTAATAATTTTCATGTGTCGTTCTTCTTTTCTCTTTGTTGTATGCTGCTCCTATTTACAATGTACTGGATACCATGACTACAAATCAGTCTATACAAGATGGTGACAGCTTAGTTTCTGCTGGTGAGACAATTGAATTAGGGATTCTTCAGCCCTGGTGATCCCCTGAAGCAATATCGCGTTGTACTGCACAGAAGAACCTACAAGGACAGTAGTATGGGTTGCCAACAGAGCCACACATCACAGATTCATCGGGTACCTTAAAGTTTATTATAACATCCCGGGTCTGTAATATTGTCCGCATTTTAAAGCCGTGAAAGTCAGTGGGCCCAAAGCGAACAATATTACACAGTGTAGATCTGGGGTATTACAAGTGATATCAGAGTTGACTCTTGACCGCGTGTGGGGCCACAGCGAGGGCGCTGTGCCTGTACGGGTGGAGAGTGTGACGGCCCAGGCGGCGGTGCGCGAGGAGGAGGGATGGCGGTGCGTCCACGCCTCGGTCCTCAGACGTGTGCAGGGAATGGGGGAGCCTCTCTTGTCCCACATCGCCTAGGAATGAGTCCTGGACTGGCTTATAAGGCTTGGGATTCTATATTTGTGTAACGTGTTTTAAAGTCGTGAGGGTTAGTGGGTCCAAAGCGGACAATACTAAACAGTGTAGACCTGAGGTATTATAGGTGGTATTAGAGCCGACTCCTGACAGCGTGTGAGGCCACAGAGAGGGCGCTGTGCTTGTAAGGGGTGGAGAGTGTGACTGCCCTGGCGGCGGTGCGCAGAAAGGAGGGATGGAGGTGTGATTGCGCCTCGGTCCTCGAACGTGCGCAGGGAAGGGGGGGCCTCTCTTGTCCTACATCGCCTAGGGGGAGTCCTACTCTGGTTTATAAGGCTTGGGGTTCTATATTTGTGTAACGCGTTTTAAAGCCATGAGAGTCAGTAGGCCAAAAGCGGACAATATTACACAGTGTAGACCCGGATTGTTACAGGTGGTATCAGAGCTGACTCCCGACCACGTGTGGGGCCCCAGTGAGGGCGCTGTGCCTGTAAGAGGTGGAGAGTGTGACGGCCCAGGTGGTGGTGCGCGGGGAGGAGGGATGGCGGTGTGTCCGCGCCTCGGTCCTCGGACGTGCGCAGGGAAGGAGGGAGCCTCTCTTGTCCCACACCGCCTAGGAGGGGAGTCCTGGACTAGCTCATAAGGCTTGGGGTTCTATATCTGTGTAACGCGTTTTAAAGCCGTGAAGGTCAATGGACCTAAAGAGGACAATATTACACAGTGTAGACCCGGGGTGTTACAAGAGGGGGAGCCGCTCTTGTCCCACATCACTTAGGAGGAGAGTCTTGGACTTGCTTATAAGACTTGAGGTTTTATATCTGTGTAACGCGTTTTAAAGTCGTGAGAGTCAGTGGACCCAAAACTGACAATATTACACAGTGTAGACTCGGGTTGTTACAGAAAAAAAATGATAGAAAGATGAAAGTAGAAGGAAAAATAAAAGAAGATAGAAGATATGTAATAATGATATGAGAAAAAAGGATGATGATTGGAAAAATAAAATAAAATATAATAATGAGAAGAGGAAATGTGATGAGAGATAAGAAAGTGAAATAGAAAAACGCAAAACTTGGATTGACTGAGCAAAGGGTTGGACGGTTTATCTCACTTTTCCAATAGACAACTGTGACACCTATGCATTATGTGGTGCCTACGGTATCGGTACAGTTGATGAGTGCCCCATGTATTGCTGCCTGTAAGGCTTCACACTGAAGTTTTCTAAAGAATGAGAAATTTTGGATTGGTCAAATGGGTGTGTGAGAACTCCCTTGAATTGAGAAAAGGTCATATTTGTGAAGTATTCTGGGGTAAGAATGCCAGATACACGCAGTACCTGGTTTAACAAGACAATAGATCTTCAAGAATGCAAAGTAATTTGCAACAAAAACTGTTCTTGTATGACTTTTCAAACTTGGATATCCAAAGGGCCGGAAGTGGTTGCTTACTGTGGTTTGGAGAGCTTATGGACATAAGAGAGTACAATCAAAACGGGCACGACTTATACATCAGGACGGCTGCCTCGGAATCAGGTAGTGACATATTTTAAGATCCTTGCAATAACTAGTTCTAATTGTTGATTTGTATGCTCTCACTTCTATTAGATCTACTCCAGACGGACCAAAAGAAGCATAAGCTGGTCATGGTCTTGGCACTGTCTATCGTGACTGGTCAACATTGTTTTTCTTTTTCTGAATTTAGTGACATGTATACCTATGAAGATGGCAGAATCATATGCTGGAAGGTGGGAGAGTAGTAAAATTGCCGTTTTTTTTTAACTATGTTATCTGGGAACTGTATTTCTCCTGGGGGAGCCAAGAGGGAAGCCAAGGAGTCCACAACCTTGAGACCGCAACTCAACTTGAACTCAAATTTGCTTCGATGGCCATTCTTAAGGCATCAAGTGATGACTGGCATGAGTCAATTAGATTTATTCACCCATATAAAGACACGTAACATAGGAAAGTCGATAGGTCTTCTACAACTACAGGACTTCACGTCATTTTCGCAAGATACAAAAGCAAGATGGATTTCTAACAGTCCAGATGGTCCATTCAACCTCTCGAATTAGTTTGCTGCATAATTTCCTGAGTGTTGATTGTTTAAAGATTCAAAGAAGGCTTGAAGACTGTCATTACCTACAGAAGGGACTATTATGCACGGCTCTTCTATTATGGGAATGACAGTCTCTTGAAGTACCTTTTCTAATGACTTCCTGAAGCCAAATACAATGAGATGACCGGTTGATACATATAGAATTTCTGAGACCGCAGTCTAGTCTTCAATCATTTCTATTCTCTGGTTCATTTGCAGGTTCAATCAGAATGGGAACAGTGGTAGGAGCCTTGATTATTTTTTTGTACTTCACTTCATCTACTATCACAGGGATTTCTGGTGCACTTGATACGTTAACTACGGATCAATCGATGCAACATGGCAAGAGCATAGTTTCAGCCGGGGGGACATTCGAACTAGGATTCTTCAGCCTCCATTATCCCCCAAAGCATTACCTCGGAATATGGTACAAGAAAATAAATCCCATCAAAGTAGTATGGGTTGCCAACAGAGCCTGTCCACTCACTGATTCATCCGGTACTCTGAAGTTCACTAGACAGGGAAGTCTCATCCTTCTTGATGGAAATGAGACTGAAATCTGGTGTTCCAACTCATCGAAAGCCTCACATCATCCAGTTGCTCAGCTTCTGGACTCGGGGAATCTCGTAGTGAGAGATTTAGGCAATACTGGTTCTGATAATATGCTATGGCAGAGTTTTGACTATCCAACAGATACTTTTCTGGCGGGAATGAAGTTAGGAAGGAACAGAATTACGGGCTTTGATCGCTATCTTACGTCTTGGAAGAGTGTAGATGATCCTTCTCCAGGTAATTTCTCATTCCAAGTTGACCCGAATGGGTTTCCCCAGATACTTCTGAAGCAGGGCTCCACTGTCAAGTCTAGGTTACGACCATGGATTGGTGTCCGAAATGGTGGAACGCAGAATTTGAACCTGGATCTGAAGTACACGTATGAATTTGTTCTGACTGAGCAGGAGATGTACTGCCACTACCAATTCTTCAACAGGTCAGTCATATCCCGTTTGTACTTGAATCCGGATGGTGTTGTGCAGCGCTTCACATGGGTTGACCAGACACAGAGTTGGGTTCTATTTCTTGTTGGACCATCAGATGACTGTGACCTTTACACATATTGCGGAGCCTCCTCTAGCTGCAACATCAATAAGTCCCCGGCGTGCCAGTGCTTGAATGGATTTTCACCAAAGGTCCCACAAGAACGGAGTACATTGAACCGGATTGGTTGTGTTAGGATGAACAGTTTGGACTGTAGAAAAGACATATTCAGAAAGTATCCTGGTTTAAAGTTGCCAGATACACGGAGCTCCTGGTTTGACAGGAGCATGGATCTCCAAGTCTGTGAAGAAGTTTGCAAAAGGAACTGTTCTTGTATGGCATATTCTAATATAGATCCTGAAGGTGGAGGAAATGGATGTTTGCTGTGGTTTGGAGACTTGATTGATATTAGAGAATACGATGAAGGTGGGCAAGACCTCTATGTTAGGATGTTTGATCTGGATCCAGGTATTATTTTGCTTCCTACAAGAAAATTTCCCTGTCGGTAAACACAGACAGGAAAGCCTCAGGAACAAAACATAGACACTGAATAGTTCCATGTTAACATTCAATAAACCCTAGTTCTTGTTAGGAGCTCAACAGAGCCTGATTCCTTCACTTGGGAGACAGCAAAGATAGAGCCCAAATCCAAGTCCGTTAACAAATTCAATTGAACCCACCTTTACTCAAGAGCTTAAACCAATAAGTTATGGGTCAATAAGGATTATTAACTACCCCGCATTACACCATATCCTCCATGGGAGACTTCTTTATTTAACACCTCACATGTGCACCTTAACAGTTTTTAAGTCTCAATCTTTTTGTGCTCCAACGGCTCTTTTTGGTCCAGGTCACTCAAGCCAGAAGAAGGAGAAGCTGATCTTAGGCTCGATAGCTGTAACATTGCTGCTATTCCTAGGTCTCAGTCTAATGGTGTATGTTCAGAAAAAGAAGCACTTGCAAGTCAGACGTTTTAACTCAGTTTTCTCCGGTAATTTTTTTTTAATGATAACTCAGTTTTCTCTGGTAATGTGTATACTCTTGATCGATGCTTTCTGCTAGCTTTCGAATGGCTATGATGCAGGACAATAATATTCATGAAGTCTTTCACTTGAATATTACTGATTTTAAACTTTCTCTATATGCATTTATTTCGGTGTGTAGAATTTAGAGACAAAGGTTCACCATGGCTAAAGAATTTATAACAGTGTGTACTCAGCTTGCCGCACGTTTTATGCAATGTCCTAAACCCCATACTTTGATTTTTCTTCGGTAAATAAAGCTATATAAAAAAGACCTCTACCCTTTTCCTGCATAACCTTCCATTCTAAAGGTTCTGAATCTGACCCTGACCTTGATTCCACCCCTCGACCCACCCTTGTCACTGGGCCATATGCCTGGAATGATGGAATCAGTTCGACCAAAATAATTGTGCAGGCCCTAAGTTGTGCAATGGCTGAAGAATCTGAAAATATGCCACTTGCCAAAGATTTCGTTTCATGTCAGATATCTATGTTCTATTCGATTTGAAAATAAAAAAATCTTAATGATCACAGTCTTTAACCAGAAGGGGTCAATTGTCTCGAAATGGTTAAATGGCTTTTCCAAAACTTGGAAAAAATTCTTTGGAGCACAAGCGCGAAGTTTTGCATGGATAGCTTTCTTTTGTGGATCTGTGCAAATCCTCTGAATTCTTGATGGTTTGGTCTTTTTTTTTCTGTGAGGATACTGAGGAAAAAGTTTTATTTTCCTTGATGTAGGTGGGATATCTGATTTTCTGAGAGGATCAGAAAATGTCGAATGCTCGGGAGAAGATCCAGAGCTACCGTTATTTGAATTTGCCACAATAGCTGATGCTACAAACAACTTCTCAACGGACAATAAGCTTGGAGAAGGCGGTTTTGGACCTGTCTACAGGGTAATAAGTAGTGCAAGCCATCTGTATGAAATACATTATGCCATCCACTGATTGAATATGTACCTATCTACCCTCTTATGGTAAATAGCATGGATGCAACTGTCTCAACATATTGCTCAAAAGCCATTGCACTTACACCTCAAACACTCGGAATGTATCAGTTCTGATCAATCCTAGAAAATAATTCATTTCAATTATCCTCAACTCTCTTGGCAGTTGTTGGATAGATGTCGCTACCTTGCAACCTGGGACATAGCATAATGTAACTGCATTGGAAGGATTATTCGCCTATTTAACTACATTGGAAGAATATGATGAAAAAGAAAGCTTCTGATTCTGTCAATTCAATACAAACATGATCACTTTTTGTGAACTTTTAGGTTCAACTGTGTGTAAAATTTCTACATGATTTGAAAATGTATAAAAAGAGGCGAGATATTGAGTATTAAAGCCCAAAAAATACTGTAAACAAAATAAGTATCCTTACAATTTATGACTATTTTTCAGGGCATGTTGAAGAATAGTCGAGAAGTTGCTGTGAAGAAACTTTCAAGGAGTTCAGGCCAAGGACTAGACGAGTTCAAAAGTGAAGCTTTACACCTAGCCAAGCTTCAGCACAGAAACCTCGTGAAGCTTCTAGGATGCTGCATTCAGAAAGAAATGTTGCTGATATATGAATACATGCCCAACAAAAGTTTGGATACGTTCATTTTTGGTTCGCTTCCTAAGCATGTTATAATAAAATTCTATCTTCTAAGGCCTTGAAAATAGTCTTCACAGATGATTGTACTGATGTCTCCATTCTTATGAGATCTCACAAAAACTGAACTTGGAATGGTTGGTCATTTACCAATAGAATAAAGATTGATAAAGTCTATAAGAGTGACATTCAGTAGCATGAATCAGTTCATCTGTCTTCTTCAAATTGCAGTAATGAACTGTGCAGGCCTTACTTGAATTACATGAATTGAACTTCTGCAGATCAAGAGCAGAGGAAGCTGCTTGATTGGAGGAAGAGATTTCACATCATCAGCGGAGTAACTCGGGGACTTCTTTACCTTCACCAAGATTCCAGACTGAGAATAATTCACCGAGATCTAAAAGCTAGCAATGTCTTGCTAGATTGTGAGTTGAATGCTAAGATATCTGATTTCGGACTTGCTAAAAGTTTTGGAGGAAATGAGACAGAAGCATGTACAAAGCGAGTGGCTGGAACATAGTAAGCACTTAAATCACAGCGACGTCTGTGATCAAATTGCTATCAAGCTCATTGGTCTTGGTGGATTTATTTGTGCAGTGGTTACATGTCCCCCGAGTATGCAATTGACGGAGTTTCCTAGGCAAAGTCGGATGTGTTCAGCTACGGTGTTTTGATGCTGGAGATAGTTAGTGGGACAAGAAACAGAGGGTTCTCTTACCCAGATCACCATCAGAATCTTCTTGGACATGTAAGTTTGAAGTTCTGTTTTTTTGGCCCACCGATAGCAAGAACTACCCTTTAATAGATTGGTTTTGATGTGGTCAAGCGTGGAAACTATTTCAAGAAGGCAGATCAATCGAATATGTTAATCCGGTGGTCGGTAACTCATATAACGTATCAGAAATCATAAGGACCATGCACGTGTCCAGAAATGCCCTGAGGACAGGCCAACCATATACATGGTAATTCTGATGCTGGGAAGCGAGATGGCACCGTCCGCCCCAAAAGAGCCCTGTTTTTTCAGCGAAACAAAATGGCCTCATGCCGATGCTTGTGTAAGCCGGCTCGAACCATGCTCTCCTAATGAAGTTACCTTGACAGCATTATCTGCTCGGTAGAAGATGCTTTCACCATGATCTCTGATCTCTCTGATATGTATATGTTCTATTACGGAGATTTGCTAAAGATTTACATTCTGTTTTTCCAATATTTAGTGTATCTTTTATTATTATTTAGGATTTATTTTTTGTTTTTAGTTAGCATAATATTTAGTATATCTTCTATAATTTGTTAGAGATATTTGGTAGATTTTTTTCTTTCCTTTTACTGTTAAACAATATGTAATATAAATATTTTTACTGAGCAAAACCAGCAAATTACGAATTATCATATGGAATCAGAGCTATAGATCTTAAACACACCAAACAATTTGACCTGTATCGTTTGCGATATGGCTTCAGATGCGTCTATCAAACAGGTGATGGACCTTTCCTCACCATATTATCTCAACTTCGAAAATCCTGGAAGCATATATCTTTCATGCGTGCTGACCCGGGATAACTATGCAACATGGTCGAAGGCAATGAGACATGCATTACGGGCAAAAAATAAACTCAGGTTTATAGATGGATCACTAGAGAAGCCGGATCCAATCGCACTCGAATTTAATGCCTGGGACATTTGTAATTCCATGATAGTTTCATGAATTTTCAATTCATTTACAGGAGTTTACAGGGAAGCGTGGCATACGCAGATAAATAAAGGTAATATGAGATGAGTTGAAAAAGAGATTTGCTCAAGGTAACCAACCTCGCATCCATGAGATCAAAATCGAGATTGGGCTCCTATAGCAAGGAGGACTCTTGGTGGTGGAATACTATGCCAAATTGAAGGTCTTATGGGTTGAACTCGATGACTATGATGATGTTATAGAATGTACCTGTACTGTAGCCATGATGTACGTGAAGAAGGAGGTGGAGAAGACCCACCAGTTTCTTATGGGCCTTAATTCTGAGACCTATGGGAATGTTCGTTCTCAAATTCTCAACATTGAGCCACTCTTGTCCCTCGATAAGGTTTATTCTATGATCATGTAGGAGGAGCACCAATGATCAATTGTCCGAGGGAGGAAAGAGAAGATCAAGGGTGCTGCTTTCTTGGTTGGCAGAGTGGGCCTAAGGAAAGTATTGTTCGGAAAACCGACCATTGTGGGAAGGTTGGGCACGAGAAGAGTCATTGCTGGGTGTTGAATGGATATCCACCAATTGGGAGTCAACACGAGGTGGAAAGGCACGCAAAGGGAATAGTTCCAAAGCGAGTGTACATTCCGCACTAGCTAGTAGCGGTAGTTCTGACACTATTGCATACACCAGACTAGTAGGTTCGAAGGGGATAGAGACAACAACAACAATTAGCAATGATCAATATCATCATTTGGTTAGTCTGCTCACGGCAATATAACCGCCTACTTCAAATGATCAACTCACAAGTCAGGTCTATTGGCCCAATGATGTTTCCACAAATTGGATTATCGAGAGTGGCGCCTCCGAACATATGATAGGGAAGCTTTTGCTTCTAAATCGGACGAGGAACATCATGGGTACATATACTATACGAACTCCTGATGGAAAAGTGACTCATGCCATCAAATGAGACGATGTTTATTTAAGCCCTAATTTTATTTTGCATGATGTGCTATATGTCCCAAACTTTAAGTGCAATCTTATCTTTGTCAAGACGTTGAGTTCGAATTTGAATTACTCAGTAACGTTCTTCTCTTCTTGATGTATCACAGAGGACCTATCCTCGAAGAGATCGATTGAAGTGGGTAATCTTCGAGAATGGGTTTATTATCTTGGACGTATGGGCACTCATTCGGCTTTTCTAGTGGTAAAGGAACAAAAAATTGACATTTGGCATCAACGATTGGGGCACCCATCACGACAAGCTTTGAATTTGATCACCGATATTAAAGAAGGGGTTGATTTGTGTCATGTATGTTGTCGTGCAAAGCAAACTCGTTCTTCATTTCCTTTAAGTAATAACAAAGCCGGTGGAAGCATTGTGATGTTTGAGGACCATATCAAACAGGGTCTTCTTTGGTGCGCATTATTTTTTAACCATCATTAATGATTATAGTCGGGCAGTTTGGGTCTATTTGACGAAGGAAAGATTAGAGATGTACAAAGTCTTTGTTAATTTTTGTTATATGGTGAAAACGCAATTTGGTCGAGTAGTTAAAATGGTGCGAAGTGATAATGGCTGTGAATTTCTTTTCTAATTCCATGAAAGATTTTTTTTCCCAAAGTGGAGTGATACATCATACATCATGTTCCTACACGTCACAGCAGAATAGGCAAGTTGAAAAAAAACACCGACATATCCTCAATGTAGCATGGGTACTTCGTTTTCAAGCGAATTTACTAATTCGTTTTTGGGGTGAATGCGTATTAACGGCTGCTTACATAATCAATTATACTCCAACTCCATTATTATCTGGAAAAACTCCATTCGAGCTTTTGTTTGGGAAACCGCTGGATTATAGTCATTTGCAAGTTTTCGATGCACTGTGCTATATTCACGAGACGTTAAAGGGAAAAGATAAATTTGAAGAAATGGCCATAAAATGTATATTTTTGGGATATCCATACGGCACGAAGGGTTGGAAGGTGTTTTATTTGAAACTGAAGAATTATTGGTATCTCATGATATTGTTTTCTATGAAGAGAATTTCGCATTTGCTTCACAACTTGCACATGAGGATCAAGACTCTCGTCCTCTTTTGACACTGGCTCGAGAGCTGGGTCCTATTCATGAGGGGTGGAATCAAACTCAAAGGGAGGAAGAGAGGGTTCCAAGCCAAGTTTGTGAAGAAAATGGGTAGACGGTGATGCAAGATTGTGATAGTACAGTCCAAGTTGAAGAGCAACCCAGCGAGCAGCCCAACGACCAAATTCTACTCCCAATTTGTCCTACACAACAAGAAAGACAGCCAACCCATCTTCGAGATTATGTGTGCCATATGGTCCAAACGAAGACCCCGACTCCTCAGCCCACTCCGGCGATATCTTCAGCTATGGTCCATCTAATCGAGAAGTTTATTTCTTATTAACAATTTACAGAGCGTCACATTGCTTTTTTAGCTTATGTTGATTCTGATATTGAGCCTAGGAATTACACTAAGGCTATTAAAAATCCTTTGTGGAGAGAAGCGATGGCAGCATGTGACGCCCTAGAATGTCACACACGACACATGTCACTTTAATGGTTATTAATCTTAATTAATAAAGAGACAAGCGAAAGCTTAATCTGAACATTTCTTAAGCATGAAAATCACACAAGTATAGTCAAAGTACGTATACTTCTTATTGTCATTACTTATCAAGTTTGCATCTTTATTTTTTTTTTTGGCATGGAAGTTTGCATCTTTATTTAAACTTCATATAATCACAAAAAACAAAAGTCTGGGTAGGTCGAGGTTGCTTATCTCCATACTAGATTATACTCTAAAAGTCTGTCTACACAAAAGTCTGATGATGTCATGGATCGATAACTTCGGCCTTCATTGCGAGACCATCACCATCAATGTCAAAGCCTCTCAACAAGCCAACTAACTCGTTGTCGAGTTTACAGTACCATGCAACAAAACGATAAGAAACCCACTCCATAAAACTCACGTTGATCTAGACAATAGAGCTACATTTAGTATATAGTTTTTCAAACTCCGATACAAACACCATTTTATAGACACCTTCATAATACATGGGAAGTCCAAAATGCAAAGGCTGTGGAACATCCATGCTACATGTCTAAAAGATAAAGGAATGAGCCGATGCCCAATAAATGAAACCTCTAGTTTTAAGTTAAGAAAATCATTTTACCACTTTATTTGGCACAAACAACGTATATGCATAACAACCATTATACAGAGAACTTGAATAAATGTATACCTTTTCCATTTGGATATGCCATAATAATCTGATCGTACTATTATTCCACATTGTTTTCATTCATACGCAAGCATATGATATATAGCATTCATACTTTGGAAGTAAAGCTCTCTTGTAGACCTTGGATGGGGTAGTGGTGAAAGTAGATTATCTTTGAGGGTTGAAGGTGAAGAAAGAAGTTATGGCCAAGATGAAAATTCTCCTTGATGTTACCCAAGTGAAAGTAAAACGTAGGAGTAGATTTTAGATAGACAATTGCATGCACTCATAGGTGACATTTCCTCTCTCAATCTACAGCCAAGGGTAAGAAATTAAAGCTTATTAGGGATGAGTAATAACTAAGGTAATGATGATTTATGGCCATGTGTCAAGTCAATGCAAGAAGCTTAGTTTGAGAAGGGCATGTGGTATGCTTGAATTCTCCAAATGTGGCATGTGGCCAAGCTTTAATCTTCCATAAGCCATGTGAGTTATTTGGTGTCTTGAGGGAGTTTTGTGAGAATTAAGTAAAGAACAGAATATCTTCTCCCTTTAACACCAATTAGCAATTAATTAATGGTTATCACTAATTAACTAAAGTTTAACTAATAATATTATCCATTAACTTACTAAGATGGTGGTAAAATAATTAACACCGTTACACTATTAATGCATACATCAATGTTTATAAATTTTAAACACGTCGAGCTCGGAATGATTACTTTCTTGAATCCGCGCCTCAAAAATTTACGGTTCAACAACAATTTTTACGCATCCATACAAATACTAAGCTAAATAATACTTGGCTTATAATC